GATTTTTCCTATTTTCGCTGGAGCGTCTCTCTCTAACGGCTCAATTTTCAATGACTAAACATGCTAAAAGAAATATGATCAAGCTAGTATGCTAAGAATAGAAAGTTGCCAACCAATTATTACAAATATCTATAATACACATGTGTATACATATAAATAACATTAATAGATCATTGTATGTAACTCGGACACAATATTACTATTCGACTACCCGCACAATACACAGGTCAAGACACTAATAGTAGGTCCAAAAATAGATGCTAGTAAATTTTTCGGGAAAGTTGCGACAGAACACACAGTAGGAAATTGAAAATTAAGAAAATGGAAAATTCTAAAGAAATTTGGTTGCTATAAATATCATGTCCTTGTGACTTGAATTCCACTTGCATTTTATACGTATTTCAAATGATAGCTACTAATAAGAACAATTATAACTTATTAATTACAACATTAATATGGAATTAATTATGTAATTAATGAGCACATTGATTGCTAGAATGTTGCCCTTTCGAGCTAGCAGGTCGGCTGGGCTCCCTACAGAACTAGTAACATGGCCCTAGGTTGGGCTAGTAGGTAGGCTCGTGCTAGGATGGTAAGCGGGCTCCCAACTGAGCTAGTAGGCAACCTCTTGAGTAGGTAGGTAGCCAGGCTCTCGACTGGGCTGGTTGGCAGGCTCATGCCCATGTTTATAGGTCGGTCAGGCTGGTAGGTTGTGTGTCTTAGACTTTCGTCTTGTTGGACTTCCTTTGCTTGATGGCTCTGCTGCTTGGGTTGGTCCGAGCTCCTTGATCACTAGGCCCAGTGACCGGGCTGGCCTGGTGGACAGCTGACTTGAGCATGGTTGTCTAAGCTATGGGCTTGAGCTTGCGGGTTCAAGTCTTGTGGTCGGGCCTATCAGATTCTAGGCCTACACCTTATATATAACCCCATCACTTATTGTCATTTCACACACTAACAATTACGTAGTATTATTGAACTGCATTAATAAGAAAATCTTCATCTAAATTCATTTTGTATCGCTTTATTTATTTACATTTTAAAATTTAAAACGTACAAATAATGATTTGTTTTTTACATGCAATTGTAACTTATATTATTGTTTTTTTGGTCAATAACTTATATTATTGTTATGATTATATTTAACAAAAATTAGAAGTAGTCCAGGTACTAAACTAAAATGGTGTAGGTGCTACATTTAATAGAATTATACGTTTTTTGCACCATAACAGCTTATTGAATATTGACGATCAGCTAAGGTAACTAGTTAATCAGATCGCTAACAACTAGCTAGCTAGTATCAGTATCACTTATTGTCAACATTTAATACAACCACTTGACAAGAAACATCCATTATCAAAGGCCCATGTCGTATACACAAAATGTATGTCACAAATAAATCACTTTTGTCTGTGTCCACAAACATTTACTTTTTGTAAAAAGTACACTGACAGCCGTCTCACACTCATATTGGCTTGCAAATCAATCAATACATGTGCAGTGCCTGTGTGCACAGACAATATGTTCATGTTGCACAGACAATTATTTGCCTGTGCGCAGACAATATTTACCACACAGGCAATAGTTGTGCGTCTCACAGACAATAGTTGTCGGTGTGATCAATTTCAATTGTCTGGGTGAACAAAAAATTTAATTGTCTATATATATATATATCCAAATGAATGATGTAGTTGTATATGTGATCAATTTAAAAAATAGAAAAATACGGAGTAATAAAATATAGATGAAATAAGATGAATAAACTGATTTTGTGCAAATAATGAAAAAAATGATATAAAAAGGTAGAGAAAAAGAGGGCGAAGAAATGAAGAGGGAGATGAAGAAGAGAAGATGATCTCTCATTTTTTTTGAGATATTAGAATGTGTTGGGTAAAGAGGAAAAAGAGAAGGGAGAGGGGAAAGAGAGAATGGAGAGAGAAGGGGAAGAGGGAAATGAGATTTTTTGGGGCCTTTTTATACCATGTGTACACTAAGTATTTTGATATATTAATGCTCAATTGACTAGTTTTTCAGGACTTGGTTTATACTACTTCCGTTTCATATTAGTTGTATTTCAATTTGACACGATTATTAATAAAATGGTTGTAAAGTAAAAGTTGTGATTGAGATTTGAGTAAAATAAAGTGAAATGGTAAGCAAGACACATGAAAGCACATTTCTTCAGTTAATTTAACAATGGAACTCAAGTAAAAGTTGTGATTGAGATTTGAGTATGATGAAAACTCACCAATGGGGATGCTCTAAGAGCCACACATTTCTTTCCAAAAAAGAAACAAGACATTCATTTTGGGACAACCCAAAATGGAAAGCAGGACAACCAAAATGGAACGGAAAGAGTTTGTTAACTCAAGAATTTGTCTAAACTTCATCATTTGGTGTGTTAAGGCAAATAATCAACACGATAAATCTGTTGGCCAAGTCCCTTCTCTGACAAATTAAATTGAATTTTGCTTGGTGTACATAAAATGTGTATACATGTATGTCCTGAAAATTTCTCTGTTACAGACAACTCATTTTGAATTGTCTGTGACAGACAAATTTGTTGCGAAGAACAGACATGTGTACATATTTTATGTATACATTTTGTGTACACTAAACATTTTTCAATTAAATTCCCATCTACAAGAACTTTCCATGTTTGGCAAGTAGTGTAAACGATATTCTTAGAAAGGTTGACCTTTGACCTCCAAAAACGGGAAGAAATATTCCCCATACAAAAGCTTTTTAGTGCTTATCTCATTTTCACATACTAAGTTTTGTGCTAGATTTTTCATATTTTATTTTTCGTTCTTTTCATTTTTTTCTTCTTCTCTCAATTCCTGCACGCTCTATCTCAGTTTAAATTTCTCAATGATTTCATTTACAACTCCTGTTCACTAAAGTTAAGTGCTGGTTTGGTAAACTCTATTTTTATTTATCAGCCACATTTTCTACCAAACACATTAACTTTTAATTCTGCGCGTTGGATATGTAACAATTAAAATAAATAAATTTGAAGTTTCTTCCTAGGTTTTGAATTGGCACAATTTCAAGTGGAAAATAATATGGGTAATGTATAATTAAGGTGCAGTGATTTGTGTTTAAATGAAAAAGTTGGAAAAAAAATGAAAAGATAGACAAATAACTAAAAGCTTGTCAAATATTTTGATTGAAAAAACTTATCAAAAATGAAAAAATGACACTTAATAAAGAAGAAAGAGCATGTGAGACTCGTTTAGGACATTGAATCAATCGAGCCAATTTTCATAACAGTTGGATTTTGTGTACACAAAAAAAATCTACATAGACGTGTGTAAATGTGTGTGCACCTAAAAAGTGTGTACAAGTCTTTTTGTTTCCATAATTCACTCTCAAAGTGCGGTGATTGGAAGGATGGAAAATAAATTCAAACATTTTCCTCTAGCTTTTTCTACCAAATACAAAAAACATCACTTTTCAATTGTAGATATCCGACCTTTTTTAGTAAAAAAGAACCTATAGTCTCCCTTGGGCAAAACTCTAAAAAGTGGGCGAAAGTTAGCACTATTTTAAGCAGAAAAAGGCCGTCTGTATTGAAAAAATCAACAAAACAGAAGAAATATACCCAATCAAAGAATATAATTATAGAAATACTAGAAAAAATAAAAGAAATAACCTTCTAGTCATGAGTCATGACTGGTTTTCCATGACTTAGTGTGTAAGTTTGCTCTGGAATTTGTCTAAACGCGTCATCACTGGTGTCTAGGCAATTATTAATCACCTCTAGACCTGTTTGCCAAGTCCTTTTCTGATCAATTCCCATCTAGGTGAACTTTCCATGTTTGGCAAGTATAAATAATAAAACTATATTCTTGGAACTATTATCCTTCAAAAGCTCGAAAAAAATATCTCCATCATAATACTACTTCCATCTCACAAAGAAGTTCCTGATTTGACTTACACTTATTTATGTAAAGTAGACTTTTGTTTTGACTTTTCATGTATAACTTTCTTTTTGCAAAATCAAGCAAAAAGTGGGTAAAAAGTAAGGGTAGTTGTAACTTATTGCTTAAAAGTGGTTTTCTTTCATAGAAATAGGAACTTCTTTTTTGGACATCCATAAAAGAAAAGTGAGAACTTCTTTGCGGGACAGAGGTAGTATTATTTTTGTTTTTTCCATACATATTAATTGAACAAAAGTGAAATTTGATCTTAAAAAATTATTATGCCGATAATTTTAAGCAATAGTTGTCCAAATATGAACTATTAAGAGTTCTATTTCAATTTATACGAGTAATAATTTAGGTAATCATAAATAACATCTCTATAATAAAGTCATATTGTGCATATGTGACAGATCATAAAAAGAGGATGACATTCCATTCCTGAGCTCCCTAGAATCATAGTTATCTGAGAGAATGTAAATTGAGTTTTGATCTCAGTTGTGACACTCCTTCCTACTAGGTGAACTTCATCTGGTCGCCCCATTAAAAATCAAAAGTCATCATGATGCCACACATATTGTTTAATAAGTTCATAATAGAGTTATAAGTACCTAATTAAAATTTTCTAATAATTTGTGATTTATAACTTTCTACTTTCACTCTTATTCAATTTTATTATTTCAGTTCACGATAAGCAAACCAATAACTCACCTCACACAAAACAAAACTATCCCAAGCTCAGAATTACACATAATTGATACTATTTCAAAATTGGTGAATAGTTTATCACCATTGTTGTCATTTAAGAATTATTGTGTTTTAACCCTTTAAGATCAGTGTTCTAAAAGGCGGCAAAAGGCGGGACCTAGGCACGCCTAGGCGTGATGCGGCGGAGAAACGTCTCGCATTGTAGAAAGGCGTGAAAAAGGCGGTCAACTCAAGAGTTGACCACGAAAGGCATGAAAAAGTGTAAGCCTAGGCATGAAAAGGCGAAAGCCTTTGGCACCATTTACATAAAAATAGGTCTTGTTGGATTGAAAGAACAACAAAACAGAACAAAGATACAAAATCAAATCATAGTTATAATAGAAATAAATAAAGTTAACCTTCTTCTATTCATAGCTTAAAACATTTAAGAGATTTGCAGAATATTCAATCATTCAGTTCAATGCATCAAAAAAGAAATGGGGAAAAAGTTCAAAAACAAAACATTATTGTTCTGTGCAAATTGCAGTCAGAGCCACAGATACTGGGGGGTGGGGAGGTGAAGCACTGAAGCACATATCCAGCTATCTTCCCAGCTCCACACCATGGATAATAATCAAATGACAAGAACCATGAAACTCTTCCAGAACAAAAGCAATAAATGAAGAAATACACATAGGAGTAATAAATAGTAGTCATATTAAACCAACCACCATTAAAGAAACAGAAACAGATCTGCTTAAGCCTAGCTAGCTATGAGCTATCCATGGGTGTTGACAGCTTCCCAGACCAGATTCTCCCGAGCCTCCAGTGCAGCAGATCTGAGCGTTTTGAGGGTGGTGATGTTGGCTTGGAGGAAGGAAAGACTCCTATACGGCAAATTGTGCTTCTTGCAGAGGGCCTGAACGACAGGGGCGATCTTCCTTAACTGGCACCTGGGCAGCCTGGGAAAGAGATGGTGTTCTGCCTGAAATTGCAGTCCTCCAAAGAACCAATCCATCCACTCCACGCAGGAGATGTCAATCGTCCCGAGCATCTGCTTCTCGAACCAGTCGTTCGCCTTCGGGGGTCCGATGTACACATTCGCGGCGAAATGGTTCAGGCAGAACTGGACGTGTTGGATAGAGCAAACGCAGAAACTCGCCAGCACGAACATCACCCTCTCCGGCCAATTCGGGAGGCAGGAAACCAGCAGAGGGAACCATGTCCAGAAAACTAGGGTTCCGAGGATGTTCAGCGCTCTGTCAGGCACTCTTCTCTTCGATAAGAGAAGCAGGAATGTCTGGAGGTAGAGATTCACCCTGGCGACGCACATCACGGGGTAGAAGGTGAAATGCTGGTAGCTGACGAGGAATCTGGCGACCGGATCGAAGGTGAGCTTTCGGCCGTAGAAGACGGAATTGATGGACTGGAACAATCTAGAAGATACGGCCAGAACTGGAAGGTGTTGCAGATCCGGATCGTAGTCCAGGCTGTTACAGGCCATGTGGTGCGCGTTGTGCGTCCACTTCCACCAGGCAATGCTGATTCCGGTGAGGCAGTTTCCGGTGAGAATCTGAGTGAATTTGTTGAATCCGCGGCTGGACATGATGGTGTAGTGGCCGGAATCGTGACCTAGGTACGATATCTGCATCCAAGCCAGGCCCAACAGCCCGCCGGAAAACATGTGCATCAACACACTCTCGCAGCACAGCACGCCGTAGAAGCAGATCGAGAGCAGGACGGCGATGAAGGTGAAGGAATAGATTACGCCGTGCCCTTTCTTCTCGAACATTCCGGATTTCGAAATATCAGCATACAGCTTCCGGTAATCCTTCGAGACCTCAGATACCTCGTAATCTCTCAGGTAATAGCCGGTAAAGTACGCGTCGAGATACTTCCAGGCCGTGCTGGGATGGAATGCAATGAAGGCGTCGGTGCAGTCCTGGCCGGCGAGATTCAGGATCGAAACATCGCCGCCGGGGTGTTTCTTAATCCACTCCGTCACATCGTACACCTTCCCCTGGATAGATATCCACAGATCTTCTCTGCTTCCATGCTTCTTCAAATCATCGAATGTAATGTACTTCTTGTCGCTGTTGTTGTCGTCGACCTCCATTGCCGACCACAACTAACAAGATCTGGAGAAGACAGAGTAGACGAAGAACGGAAGAAGATGGTTTTGCAGGAATGATTGAAAACCAAAAACACCCTTTCCTTTACGAATTCAGGTGCTCTGATTATCTATCTCTTCTCTTCTTCTTCCCCGATTGTTGAGATTTAAACGCGTTATGGAAACTGTATATTTTTACGTTTATGGGGTTTGAAGAATGTTGTTCAGAGAAAGATATGCGGGAAGGGTAGCGTATATATCGGTGGGGGCGTTCTTAAAAATTCTGGATGGACCCGGGGCCCATCAGATTACGATGTATCTCCGTTGTACCCTTGCGATTGGCGTTGCCCTATTCTCAGCCATAGATCGTGTGCGGCTACCACTTGCTAATCGGAAAATCAATGGCTCGCAATTTTCCTTGTTTAGAAATTAGTAATATCGTTACCTTAGTGGCAATGCTTTGTATTATTGCAACACCCAAAATATCTATTGCGGTGCTGGAGCTAGGGATGTGCACAAACCTGTTCTAATACAGTTCACGTTCGTTCTAATTTGTTGTAGAATGATGATTAAGAGACCTTCCGTTTAGACTGTCTTATCTTTAGGTTTCACTGATGGTTACATACTAAATTTATAAAGATTATGTGGTTCTAAACATCTCTTCATTTATTTTTTACTTTATTAATTTAATATCAATCACACAATTATTGAATATCTCTTAATTCATGTTTTTAAGTTATTGGAACAGTAGCATATCTTAATAATTGTTCGTTAAAGCGTAGATTATCTTTATCAAAGATATATGGGATGTTGAGATTTATTCCCGAAGATCCGAAAGCCCAACACAAGCTTTGAATATTGTAGGGATATTGGGTTGGTTTAGAAAGTGTATAAAATATAAAATAGTGAGATATTATCCAACTCAGGAGCTTACTTGTATTTAGTAATTATGCAATTACACTGAAATTACCCGAACGGTAGTTAAGTACAAGAATACAAGAATAAGAGAAGTGTTTCTACTTGCTAAGCTCTGAGTATTGAAATGTCAACCCCCTTCCAATGATCTAAACATGGGTATTTATACTAAAATGGGGATGGGTAATGTAGACACGGGGCCGAATCTGGCAGGTTGTCACCTCTGCCATGTAAGCACCTCTGCCTCCACTTGCAGCCGCCATGATCCAGAATTAAATGTGGCTTACACTTGCTGACTTCCCGTTCGGGTATAGTGTTCGGTGAGTGGGACCCTGCCATAGATGTTATCTTGTTTATGAAGAGTATCCCGAACTCCGTTCGGGAACCAGCTATTTGATGCTTTGGCGTGATTGTTTCCTGAGATGCTTTAAGTAGAAGATTCGCCCCGAATGCTGATCGGGAACTCTGGGCTGCTTTGGGCATACTACTTCTTTCCGGATTTGGGTTAAGGGATATTGGGCCTGGATCCAATATCCCAACACTAGTCCCCCACTTCCTATGTCTCGAACGGTAGTGAGTGCATAAGGAAGTAGAAGATTATTGCCCGAATGCTGTTCGGGTAAGTATCGGATGGTATTCCGCCGGTTCCCGAGGCGTGTTATGACGGTTTTATGCGGCTGCTGTTTCACTTCTCCGATAAACGTCATGATTACTTGAGAAGGACTCTCTGCGTTACACGTGTCCCCATCATCATTACTGGAGACGTGTCTTTCTCTGATTGGCTGTTGATTCGGCGTGACAGAGTATAAGTAGGTTCTCCTGGTTTTGATTCTGGGTTTCGAAATTTTGCACCTCCGGCTCAGTACTCAGCCTTCTCTCTAGAGCTTCTTCTCAGTTCTTGTTCAGGTATTTTCTGGCCCCCGTATCTCTCTTCCTTGTTCGGTCATTATGACAACCCATCTTCATTCCTCTGAATGCTCCACCGCAACTGCTGATCTTCCAGAGGATAATCCAAATGCCGCCTTAGAAATGGCCGCCATTCCTGCGGGGGTCCCCGCTGATGACGCTTCTCCTTCTCGGACTTACTCCAATGGTACCTACTCTGGGGATGACCTGGAGGCCATGGAGGCTGGTCCCCCAAGCGGCGTTTCTTGCCACAAACTCGAACTAGGGCTCATTAGATTTTCGCGGCAGAAGCTCACGGCCCAGACTAGGGCCCAAATTCAAATGTTAATTCCGGACTCGGTGGGCTTCTGTCTTCAAGCGGGCCTCCACCCAATGCGCCACTTCCCTGGGATGGTTATGGTTCATTTCGACTCCCTTAAGGCTGGCCTTAGGTTCCCACTTCATCCCTTTTTTGTGTCCCTGCTAAACTTTTACAACGTAGTACCAGCCCAAATTATGTCGAACTCCTATCGGGCAGTGGCCGGTTTTATTTGTCGCTGTTCCGCCGTTCGGGTAACGCCCACTTTGGAGCTTTTCCATTACTTCTTTTTGGTCATCCCTCAACAGGCCCACGGGTTTCTAGTAGTGAGTGCCCGAACGGGACATATCCTGTTCTGTGCGGCTCCTTCTTCGATCAAGGGCTGGAAGGACCGGTTCTTCCTTGTATCTGTCCCGAACGGCCTGATTCCCAGAAAATGGAATGCATTTCCCCCAAGGTCCCCTGAACCGTTCATCTCCGAGGAGCTCAGCAAGGATATTATTGTTGTGGAGGCTTGTCACGCCCCGGCCTGGCCGGACGCGCTAACAACCGCCGCATAATCCGATTAAGGCAACCGCAGTTCACCCTACTCGAACCATGCAAGGCGTACATGAATACCATTCACACTAGTACATCCATAAACAATCATAAATAAAGCATTTCAAATATATGCAGCGGAATACAAATATTTTTTAAAAGTAAAAGGCCACAAAGGGCGAACATGAGCACGCAGGCTCCCAAATCATTTATAATTTAAAAATAGTCCATGAGCATTATTTTATTTATATCCAAATAGAACTGGAAGAAGCACGAACCACGTCTTCTCTCCATGGATCACCCGAAGCAACGGGAACAGGAAGCAAGCTCTAGCTTCTACCTGAAACTGTGAGGTGGCCTCCCCCGTGAAGGGGAGGTCAGTACTTGGAAGCATTTGACAAGTACAATGACAACTATACTGAATATAATTCATGTTTCAAACACAAGACCCTCAACATAGGGTGATACTATATTATGGGCATAACCTACGGCTACCCCATTTCAAATCACTTGTATAGAATATATATACCAAGTCAAAATAGTCAACCCGTAGGTTCATTTTTATTTCAAAACAATTCCCTTTGTATAGCCCTTGGCCTATTCATGCATATAACAATCTCGGGAGGTTACCCCACCCCTAGTCTAAACCCAACTCCATCGAGAGGGTTACACAATTTATCATTTGTACTCGTCCACGTTGGACTTACCCACCCTACGGGTGTATTCATTCATTTTGGGCTTACACCCCCAGCATAATATCTTTGATTTATTTAGGGCTTACACACCCCGTATATTCTTAGTTTGTGTAGGGCTTACACACCCCGCGTAATACTTTACTCATTTAGGGCTTACACACCCCGCGTAATACTTTATCATGTAGGGCTTACACACCCCGTATAATACTTTATTCATTAGGGCTTACACACCCCGCGTAATACTTTATTCGTGTAGGGCTTACACACCCCGCGTAGTATCCTCTATCTCGTTAGGGCTTACACACCCCGTATATATATCCCCGTATACTCATTGTACACGAGCAATCATAATCTATCAACCTCGGGCTAGTCTTCATCAAGACTCCCCGGGCTGCCTTCATATAGTCTAGGTAGACTCCACCATTTCCTTTGAGTGTGACCATAGTCCATCACTCATTCTAAGTTCATGCCTATCTAATTCAATACTATAGATAGCACATACAATTAATCACTACGGATTCATATCACTTTGATCATGTAAATAACTCAAGTATTCCTTACTTCGCATTTAATCATTTTGCCTATCCACATAGTTATCCATATATCCCTTTTAAGATCTTATGGAATCACACATTTATCAACATTTGTCTATATCATGCTAATCCTCTATATCAATTCAATAATTAATATATTTCAAGGATTTCTCCCCTCATGCATAATGCCTTTGCTTATCCACCTTAGTAATATCATGTATCAATTTGTATGACCACATAGCAACACATTTATTCACATTGGAGTATATCATTTAATTCCATCAAAATCATAATTTGATTACTTAGGTAATCTCATGCTCAACTCACGAGTTATAGACAATATAGTCAGCCATCCTCACCTTATATATGTCCAGGAAGGTTGCCTATTGAAGCCCCGTCGTTAAACCTTTGATCGGGAATAACCTGAGATGACCTTGGCTGGCAGAGAGCAAAAGCCGCCCGGCTTTTGCAAAAGCTGCCCGGCTTTTGGGTTCTGCTGCACGAAAACAGCACCTAGAAGTGGCGGTTTCCGGCGATTTCGATTCTTATCGATTCCACAACTCTTCTAAGTTAATTCCCAACACTTTATATCATATTTATACACTTTTAAACGTGTAGAACATGCTCATTGATCCCACATATGATTTCTTAAAAATCATATTCACAAAACGAAGTAAATAACTAGTTTGAGCGGGATTAACATTCGGTTACCTAGAATCGAGCTTTCTTCTTCCCGGAATCCCCCTCTTTCTTCCTCCTTGCTCAAGGAACGTGTGAAGCCTTATGATGAGCTCCTTCCTCTCTCTATTCTCACGCACAAAGCTATCCAAATGGGAGGAGGAGAGTCTTCCCACCCCTTATCCTTTCTATTATTAGAAAGTTGGGCTAAGTGGGTAGGGTTGTACTCATGGGCTGCCCCTTTCTATTAAATCGGGTCCGAAGCTATTTACAAATTAATCCTCCCGTTGATTATGGTCTACACTTTATACGGAATACCCCGAATTAAAGTGTAGGACGCTCTTCACCCTCATACTCGCTATTTTCGGTAAGTTTGGGAAAAAATGCCACTTTGGTTACTTGATATATCTCGGTTGGGCCTAAATGACTTTTATTCATTTATTTATATCATTTTAGGCTAGTAGACCATAGTAGGTCGATCCTAAAATGTATTGGATGGTCCTCCCCAATATTCGGGCTCATACCCAATTATATTTCTATTATTAATAAGTAGACTCAAATAGTCTCCCGTCTTATTTCTTTACCTTTTATTCGGGCCAAACAATTATATTTCACATACTTCTTTATCCTTGGACTTTTTGTTCAATTTACCGAGGT